TAAATGTTTGACCTCTCCGAGTTCGAAAAAGAGCAAATTATTGGTGCTCGCATGGCAGGAGCCTCGATCACTAAGGTTGCGGAACTGTTTGGTTTTGATATCAAGAACACTGATACAATTCGAGAAACAGGGCAAGACCTCTAGCAAACGTAGCAATTCGGGCCGGACTTGCAAACTTACTGACAGGGACTGACGTGCATTGAAACGCAATGTAGCAAAAAATCATCGGACAAATGCGGCGAAAGTCACTGCTGAATTGAATAATCATCAGAATAGTTCAGTTTCTACTAAAACTGTTCACCGTGAGCTCCATAAGACTGCATATCATGAAAGAGTCGCTGTGAGGAAACCTCGTCTCTCCATTTGCAAGATCACAATGCCTGGTCTTCAGACCAATGGAACCAAGTCATATTCTCAAACAAGTCCAGTTTTTTCTCTTTTCCCAAGAAGCTTACAACCCTGACTGCCTTCTTCCAACAGTGAAGCTGGGAGGTGGATCAGTGATAGTTTGGGCTGCCATATCATGGAAATGCCTCAGTCCAATCGTTGCCCTGCATGGTAGAATCAACAGCAAAAATTACCTGAACATTTTTGGAGATCATGTTCATCCAATGGCTAAGACTTTATTCCCTTATAGTAACTGCATCTTCCAAGACGATAATACTCCAATACATACCGCTCGAGTGGTTAAGAATTGGTATGAAGAGCATGAAAGTGAGCTAGAACATATGGAGTGGCCTCCCCCAATCTCAAGATATCAATATTATTGAACATTTGTGGTGCATTTTGGAGCAACAAGTTAGGAGCTGCTATCCTCCACCGTCGTATCGTAAAGAGCTGGAGAAGGTTTTAATAGAAGAATAACTGAACATTTCTCTGGATGAAGTCAGGAAGCTGTATGATTCCATTCCTAGGCGCATTAAAGCTGTCTGTGAGACTAAAGGAGGACCAAGTCCATATTAAATAAATTTTCTTTGAATTTAACAATTATTTTGTCCAACCCCTGTATATATATATATATATATATATATATATATATATATATATATATATATATATATATATCGTGTGGCTTTCAGCTTATAATAGAAATATTTATAATTTTTTAGAGAAAATTTAAATCTGAATTTTCTAATGTCTTGGAGCGCTTTCTTCTTTTAGAAGCAATCATTTTTTTTTACTGATTGATGAGTGTCAAGTTGTTTTTTCTTTTTCTTTTTTTTAATATCTCTTCTTCATACGTCATTTTGCACTGTGCCGAATCATTTTTTTTTTCTTTCTTTTTAGGGTAAAATATATTTAGCTGTTCTGTTACTAAATTGAAAGAAATTTTATTGATATTGGGTAATTTGATTTTTGTGGTAAACGCTTGTAGTATAGTCTTACTTCTCATAATTATAGAGTAATTGGCCATGGTTAAATATAATTGACAGAAATTGACAAAGTTTGCAATAAACAATAACAAGAGTAAAAAAAGGTGACCCAGTCTTTCCTATCAAACCGCGAAATGAAAGTTATCCTGAAGGGCCACTCATCTATATCCTTTCGTACTAAGAGCTCCATCCTTGGTCCGACTCTGTTTTTAATTTTCATTAACGGCCTACCTGATGACTTCAACTTGGTATCTACGCTGATGATACAACAATTTGCTCCTGTCTCGATAGTAAGGCTGATTAGTCTGACAAGGTCAAAATGGCAGCCGATGTCCAAATCTACCTTAAATCCGTCGTTAACTGGGGCAAAATATTGCTTGTTAAGTTTAATGCCTCCAAAACTAAATTTCTTTCCATTAATCATCTGAGAGAATCCTCTCTGCTTTCAATCAGATTGGCTGATGCTAACCCCCAGAAAAATTGACTCATTGCGCATTTTAGGGCTAACGTTCTCAGCTGACATGAAGTGGAAAGACTATATTGAATGCATTTCTAGGTAAGCTGTTAAGAACGTCGGTTCACTGTGTCGAGCGAAACAATTTTTTTCTCAAGATTATATCTTATATATCTATGTATACAATTCGTCCATGCTTAAAATATTGCCGCCACATATGGTCCGGTGCCCCTGCTATTTACCTGGAGCTCCTTAATAATATCCAAAGAAAAATCAGCAATAATATTGGTCCTGATCTGGCGGCTCGGTTTCAGTCACTTGCCCACCGCCGTAAGGGTGCCTCTCTGTGCCTTTTCTATAAATACTTTCATGGTAATTGTTCGAATGAGCTCTTCACTATATTACCCAAACTTTATGAATTTTAGCGCAATACTAGACTGACGTCGAGATCTCATCAATTGACAGACTTTAATCTGCAAAAATTTAAATGCCAATCGCTATTTCTGTCTTCCTGACTGCTCTTTTCTCTTTCTACTCATTATAAATGTTTCTATTCCTAATTCTTGCACACCCTGTAACCCCTTTTTGTTTTAGTGGCTTTACTGTCTTGCATGGGGTGATACCGATTAAAAAATAATAATATTAAGCAAGTAAATAATATATGCAAGGCAAAGCAAAAGTAATAAGGCAAAAGGCTCACAAACTAAGAATGCTGTTAACTTACAAAAAAGGTTACAGATCGAAACTGAGTCTGATGAGACCGAGAAGTGACCTATCTTATTTGCTAGGAAGAAATCCCAGCATGCATATGCATCTGTATGTTTTTTTTTCTATAAATTTGAAGAGGGGGATGTTTTTGAAGTCATTCCTAAAAGGATTGGTCCCAACACTCCCATCGACTCAATCAAATGGACGAGCGCACGTTTTTCTATTTTTCTCACTTCTATGCAGTCAATAAATACAAACAAGAAACACATAAATATTTAAAGGTTTTTCATTTTACTTTTCTTTTTCTCTTTTTCATCTTTTAATATTTCAAAAGTTTATGGTGTACGTTACCAAGGAAAATGTATTCAGTAAAAAACACAAAAAAAAAAACAAAGAAAAAGCAAAGAAATTCTTTTGTGATTATTTGAAGGACTCGCTTAAGGTATGCATGACAGATTATCTAAATTTGGAATTAAACGCTCTCGACAACAACAAATAAAGATCTAGCATCCTGGAAGGGGTGAAGATTTTCGAAGATCCGCAATTTCAAATGCCAACAACAAGCGGATAGTCAGAAATGGAAGAGTTATTGGTGAAAATTTCTCACGATTTACAATTGGTTAATGCAATCGCAATCAGACCTAGTCAGTCACGTAAAACGTCACACAGTGAGACTCAACAGTAACGACCAAGCTTGTCAGATTAAGATTGATCTTATCAGTACACACTGTGGTAAGTCGCGTTTCAGTCAATCTGTACTAACCAGACACTTGAAAATCCATAACCAGTGAACCCGTGAGGCACAAACTTCCCAACGATCAATGGCCTACATTTGCCGCCTGCAGAATAAATCTTGCGAATCGGTTCAAGAGCCATTGTCAGTCTCATGACTGTTAATCTATGTCAGTGGTGGTCATAATCATTTAATGAGTCGATAGCAATCATATTTATATTTATTGATTGAAACAGAGGAAGTCAAGTATATCAATATATATACATCTTTCTCTTCTTTTTTCTTTCTACATGCAAACACTTACTCAGATACACATGCACACATATACATACATACTTAGGCTGTCACATTTTTAAAGTTAAATCATTTTTTCTAAGGGTTTCACCCTAAGGAAGACAATAAAGTCACTAAAATGAAAAGTGTTACTGATAGTGAAAGAAACAGGGAGGACAATAAAAGAACATGCTTCAACAAAATGATGATTGACATTGCATTTACATTTAAAGATTGTTGTTGACTTTGAAATGAAAAAAAAATAGCTGCCAATCGAGGTACGGACGAAGAAAGCTCATCAGAACACTCATTTAGTAATTCTAAAGTATTGTTTTCTTTGATTATCCCGTTGTAATATATATTTGATTTGCTTTGATTATCCCCATCATATATATATATATATATATATATATATATATATATATATATATATATATATATATATATATATATATATATTATATGATATTACATTCGAATATAGCGGTTACATATGTCCGAATGTAATATCCTATAATAAAGAATTATCGCTCTACTGTTGTATTAAGCCCTATTTTTAAATTACAGAGTTAATTAATTAATTAGTTATGAGTTCACCACATACAAGCCAGTAAAGCCACTAAGACACAATTACTGTGGAAGCGTTAGAAATAGAAACATTGCTAAGGAGCGAGAACAAGGGAAGCGTAATCTGGAGAACAGTAGACAGCGATTGACATTTCATTTAAATTTTTGAAGATTAAATTTGTCTGGAAGGTATGGACTCGGAACTTTGCAACCTTATTATTATAAGGATACCATGGGGTCCACATGCTTTGTGGGGATCCAGTATAGAGATGATGTCAGAAACCATCAGAAAGGATTATATTCATATCACTCAACAGAGACTTGGTTCTAAGTGTGAAGTTAAGCAGGGGACAATCCAGATGAGTCAAGAATAGAGCCTAAGGAGATTTTATGGCCCAAACATTTAGCTTATCAGCAGATGTTAACACCTCAAACTGATTGAAGAGAGGTTATTTTCAACAAATTTGAACCTTTTCATTGATATCTGTATTTTCTTGTGATTTACATTTTAGAAACAAATGATGGACGAAAATTCGAATGAGAAATTGAAGCATCGGAGCTGATACAGATTTTTTGACTCCAGATCAGATGTGCTGCAAGAGATCGGTGATCAAATACAAAGTCAACCCTGACAACTACCCTTTGTATCCAAGCGTATCTCAAACGTTGGGACGCTGAGTGTCATCGGGTGAGTAGATCCCTAGAAGATGAACCGTGGTCAGGGCGAAACAAACTTTGCCGAAAAATAAAAATAAAAAAAGGTATTCTTTTCTTACTGTCATGCCATAAAAAATGTTGGGCCGGAAACCTTTGGAACACTTTCCGTATTTATACATAAGCACACACAAATATACCCACAAATATAGACGCAAACACACACACACACGCACACACATAGATAGATAGATAGATAGATAGATAGATAGATAGATAGATAGATAGATAGAGTTATATATGATGATTGACACTCCCATCGATTTCAACGGATGTGGATTCGACAAGCTCATTCAGTATTTATGTTTGTGTCGTCTGTGACACTTCAGCAGTCCTAGCCATGACCTGAACAGGATAACCTTGCATTCAAAACTTGAGGAGAGTCATTTTTTATTCTCTGTAATTCGTTCATTCGAAAAATGTGGTTGCTTTTGCACAAGCGTTTCTTTCAAGGCAAGAAAACATTACTTATCATATCATGGTAAGCACTTGATACATACATACATACATACATACATACATACATACATACATACATACTTGTATGTATTTACGGATATAAAATGTTCATTCATTTGTAAACACGCTTTATCCTACACATCGATCAAATGGTCCAATTTATGTTTGTATTTGTTTTTTTGAGAGAACGTTAACGTCAAAAGCCGATGACTACAGGAAGGAAATGCTTTCACACTAGCGATGACTTTGTAAGATTTGGTGTATTCTATGAATTCTGGAACCAGATTTTGACGCGTCTAATTGATGTGTTTTTCATTGAAAGAATTCATCGCAAAAGATGCCGCAATGAAATTCATAAACAGAACAGACACACTTATCCAGCTGCGTCGTCATCGTCGTGTTATTGTGAAACAAATAGAAATAAATACAGAATAAAACAGAAAAGAACAACCAAGTGTCTAGATGTGATGCCCGAATTGCCTATTGTCTGCTTCATCTTTTAAACTTAAAAAAAACCAACCCTCTCGACAACTGGCCATGATTTTTCTATACCGTAATTGTTCATGAATTGAGATGCGCCACCATGCCAAACTTGTTAAGATCAGGCAACAGGGAAGAAAGTCTGTGGTGCTGAATGGGATACTTATGTAACCCATTTTAATTCACAACGACAAAACATTTACATGTTAACACCTCTAGTCCGTTAAGATGCCATGAAAGCCATGCCCCGTGTATCATCATCATCATCATCATCATTATTATTATTATTATTATTATTATTGATACACATTTCCTTCCAGGTGCCAAACAGAGACCCAAAGTCAGAAACGGCTTCATAACATATTCCACTGATCATTTTTGTAAAAAAAAATATCTAGATCACACACGTTTCACATAGATAAAGACCTTCGTAAGGTGTGGGCTGTAAGTGTGAGTACTAAGGCGTGGGTTATCCAGAATTCCTTCAATGAATCTATTAGAATCTTTTTCAATAAGTCCGAGTGCTCCAATTGCAACTGGATTTGTTTATGCCCTCATGTGCCACATTTTTGAGTTCATTATTATTATTATTGAATATATGATAAAACTCTTAATGAAGTGAATGTCCTCCTGACCCGAAATGAGCGGATAAATTAGTTTTGAAAGATACACATTCAGTACAATCCTTACCGGGTCGTTACCTAAGAAGGAGGATTAGACAATGAGAAGATTCTGATGCTAAGTGCTACTTAACATGTACAGTGTTTATATTTTTCTTTACATTGATAAAACTTTCCTCACTAGATGAGCAGTTCCACACGATGTACTTTGTTGATCTTACCAAGGGCTCCAATTATCGAATTTTAGGCATCAACTTTTTTAAAAATTAATTTTAATGATCCTTTTGTTAATTTATTTTATTAAAGATTTTATAACCATATTTTTATCTAATGGCACTGCTATATCTGTGAGAAAACAATTTTATAGGCTTTAATCCCTATAAAGGGATGCTTGGAATGGGTGAAGGAATATATTGGTTTTCTCCACTCTCCAAAGCCCACATTAGACATTAGTATATCTATGATATGCAAACACCTTAAAATGAGGGAAGAAAGGACTAGGATAACTCAAAGAAATTCGAAAAATGAGTCATTCCTGAAAAAATTTATATATGCAATTGCAGAATATGCAAATATGTCAAACCAAATATGCAATATACACTACAAGCAAAACATTTTGGGATACCCTGCATTTCTTTTAAAAAAAATACACTATAAAATGAGACAGTTTTAAAGTAAAAGATAAAATTTCAGTACCTGCAGTGTATTTGCTTTTATTGAGGTTCCAAAAACATGACCGCCAAAACAGAAGTTCGCGTGACGTTCAGTAGCTTCAACAGAAGAAAGACATTTCCAGTAGCTGCTGATAGAAGTACTGGATATGACATGTATGAGAGAGAGAGAACACGTCCCCACCCAGAACGGGTTTCGACAGATTAAAATACGGCATTCTAATTCAGGCCGAAGAGTATATTGAGCGAAACACATTTAAAAAAAAAAAAAAAAAAAAAAAAAAGACTCAAGGAAATTCGTCTGAATTAAATAATTTTTTTTCATATTTTTAATTATTTTATTTTCAATAAACATAAGCTTTGTTGATTAATCAATATTTTTCTTATTGTTATTAAAGCCGGGATGTACTTTGATGTTTTACATGAGTTTTTCTAGAATGCTTTTTCTTTTATTATTAACACTTCAGCAGATTGAGAATTAATTTCGCAAGATTTATACAATTTGCACGTGTGAACCTTTATGCAATCATGTCTTTTCTCCCTTTGACTTAACCGATCTCCATACAAATCAAGAGAATAAGTTTCCTGATAAAAAATTTTCAGCATTTAGCTTCTTTTTTTTTTTCAGGTATTTTAAATGTTAAAAGGATTCCCACGTTACAGAAGCTACAAATTGTTTGATATTCTTGCTTCAAAAATAGTGCTGTCAAAGATACAATCTTCCTCATTATCCAAATGCATAAAGGTAATATTACTGGCAATTCAGGTATGCAAAAGGGAAGTTGTAAAAATGCTTACTTTAAGTAAAAGGGAAAACAAATCTCGAATTTATATGGAAAGAAGAAAATCATATGCTGGACTTGCCAAGATCTACAGTAAGCGATTTTCAATTACCAACACTTACTACTCAATATTTGGACTTTTTACCAACTGAATATCAATTATTGACAAAGACTGATCTGCAGAATGAGACAATTTTCAGAAATATATATATATATATATATATATATATATATATATATAATTTCAACTAGTCTTTTCTACACGATTTATGTGCAGATTATGAATTTAATGAAAATGATGGAAAATATAGGCAACATTATAGGTGCAGTCCATTTACTACCCTCGCGGACCTGACATATAAACTATACCACAACACTCAGCAACTCCCGACTGAAATGATTCTGAAGTATTTCTAATTTCTTGCCAGTAAGCCTTATTTTATTTTTTTTTTTTTTAGCCACTGACCAAATCAATAAAGGAAATAATAGATTAGTAAAAATGTTAAATGGTTTACAATCTAATATTAACAGTAGACCGGGAACTACATATACTAATCTTGAATTTATTTATTTTTATTAATATTTTTACTTTTTACTACCTTTACTATACAACTATTGTTATTATTAGACTGTGAGGCATTTAACATTTTTGCTAATTCATTATTTTCTTTATCTTATCTTTACCATTTTTAATATATAACTATTATTATTGTTATGTTTTTGTCTATTTCTTTTACCTTTAGACTTACTATTAGAAACGTGCTTATTTATTTACTTATCTATTTGCATTTATTATTTTTATTTGTTTATTTGCCCTATTTATGTATTTACATATTTATATGTTCCTATTTATATGGCTTTAATTTTATCTTATTTTATTTTACATTATTTTATTTTCATTGATATGGATTACTTTTTAGTACGTTAATTTTATTTATCACAGCATATTTTATTATTATTGATATCACTGCTTTTATTTATTTTATTAATATTAATAATATTATTAATTGCTTTATTGATTTTCAAGGAAAAAGTAGAGTTACCCTATTGATTTCCAAAAGTTTTTCTTGTCTATTACTTTTGATAACAATTCTTATTTCCAACTTTATTTTCAATCTTAGATGGTAATCTGGGACTAAATTAAAATCTAAAATTAAACTAAAATTCATTTAAACGTTTTAACAGCAATAATAATCCGCCCAAACAATGAAATATTTCGCGTTAAGTAGAAATATTAAAAAAAAAAAACGATATTTACCCGCCAAAATAACAGCACTTGAGAATTGCGTCAGCATGAAACTCAGCGTTGAGAAATCAATGTATGGTATTATGCATGTTTTTTTTTTTATATATATATATATATATATATATATATATATATATATATATATATTAACGAATTACCATTTTTAGATATACTCATTAGAAATAGAAATACTCACATAATCACAGATATCTGCCACAAAACTACAGACAACCAACAATATCTTCATTTCAAGAGCGACCACCCAAAAAGTTGTCTGAAATCCATCCCACATTTCCTAGTACGTGCGGTTTGCGCTATAGTAACCGACAAACACATCAGAAAAACCCACCTAGAAGAACCATATAGAACTCTAAAAAAACACGAGGCTACCGTACAACACTAATAAACAAAGGTTTTGAACTAACAGAAAAAACACCTCTGGATCAACTACGAAATCTAAAAAAAGTAACGTAAACAAACCTTAGCATATGTCTCAATATACAATAAGAACTATCCAGAACTATTTACGGAAATTATAAGAAATCTAGACCTACTTAACAAGAATGACAAAATGAAATATATATTTAAAAAACCCAAAATAATTAAAAGCAAACACCAATCTAAAAACCTAAGATATATATTAACCTCATCCAAATTTAACTAACACAATATACAAGGCATCACAAAATGCAACAAAAAAAGATGTGGGTTTGTGATGTCATTATAGAAGGGAACTCCTATACCTCTGATAACCTCACAACTACATTCGCAATAAATAAAAATTTAAACTGCAACTCTAAAAATAAGATCTATGCACCCAAATGCACAAAATTCAAGAATTCATATATAGGCATCATCCAAGCACTTAACCACACAGTTGACCTTCACAGAAGCAACATAAAATTACTCGACAACAGAAGATTCTTTGTATCGCGACACATTTACGAATGCAAACTAACAGGGACACACAGGCTCACAAACGATACACAAAAATGGAAATAC